GACTGCCAGAGAGGACTCTGAACTAGGAAAACTTTTCTTACTTCAGCTTGGATACAAAATCCTGATACAAAACTCACTGAAGTCAATTACATTCTCTCCATTAACTTCAGAGTGCCCTGGATTAAATCCAGAAATCCAGCTCACCCCATTAAATCATAACTGCTGGGCTAGGGCATAGGGTGAGAGGCTTTTTCACAGGTAATCAGAAACTAGGTTATGGAAGAGTTCATATTCTAACACTGAGGCTATGTCTAGACTGCGGAGTTAAATCAGAAAAAGATACGCGAATTGCAAGCCACAATTCGCGTATCTTTTTCCGCTTTTTTTTTCTGATGAGGCTTTTCCAAAATTTGGCCCATCTACCCAGGGCTAAATTTCGGTAAAACCTCCTCTTTCAGAACATCCCTTATGCCTCATGTAATGAGGAATACAGGGATGCCAAAAGAACATGTCCGCTTTTTTGGAAACTTTTGAAAAAGCGGACACGTTTCTTGGACACAGCAGAGCTTTTCCGGGATACCTCCCTTATCCCGCAAAAGGTCTGCAGTGTAGACATAGCCTGAGTGAGTAATAAAAATGTGGACTATTTTTCTTAACTGATCTAGAGTAATACTTCCTCAGCTGTTTTCTAATATTTGAAAGGCTTTTGGTAAAAACTATTAAATATACAATGCAGCAGTGGTAAAATCAGTAAATGTCTCACTGCATTGACTATTTTTTATTCTTTACAACAAAAAGCTATTCAGCAAAAACATCCCAACTGTTGGCTCCTTTGCTTTGGAAGTAAACATCCCAGCTGAGCTATATCCTGTCTTGGCCTTTGAGAATGTGTACGCTATGGAGGAGTGGGAGAAACTCATGTTCATGAGGAAGAGGCAAAAGCAGTGTGGGAGTAATCAAGCTTGTTTGACAAAAATGTGCGAGGAAAAGAGTAATTTTGGATTTATTTTATTTGCATCAGATTCTAAACACTGAAAGGCTATAAGGTACAATTACTGTCATCTCCACTCCACCAAAAGAAGTAAAGAAATAGAAGTTTTCATCTAGCTACATTTTTAAGGTGCTGTATTTGGCACTGATTATTGTAAAAAATGCATTTGTAGCAAAAGGAAATTAGTGAGAAAACAGAGAACCAGCCAAGATAATGCATATTTGATATTCATTATCTTATTACAGATGGTCAAAAGCAGGTGCTGATATCCTGTAGGCAATACTCAAAGAATAACAGTACATTAAACAGAAAGTTATATTTTCTTCTATGTTGAATTTGCAGATTTTTGTATAGCATGATGGCCTATATGCAAAGGTAGAGCTGTTCTTAAAAGCTTTTACTCTCATTCAAGATGGGAATTTCAGTGTCAGTGAATTGGAAGGTTCCAGTCTCAGTACTGTAGTTGGAGAATAAAATTAGTCACTTAATAAAAATATCTTCTCTTTACTTGCATCCATATTTCCTGCTTCTGGGGAAAAGATCATGGAAGGGAAATAGTAGTTATGGAGTGACTTTGGACAGTGGTTGAGATTACAAAATGATACGCTGGAGAAGCTGTAGTAATGATACTATCGCTTGCAACTTGTACATTGTACAATGTAAGCAATTTCTTTTATAAACTCCTGTGACCATGACACTGATGAAGCAGCGAGAGGTTTTTAACCAAATGTATAGTATAAATAAGGAGGAATATGAAATATGTATTATCTTATTTTTAGTAAACTGTACAATTTAAGAAACAACACCTAAATGTTATGTATTTAGTGTTGCCTACCTGTCAATGCTGTAAAAATGTCAGAATTGCTTGACTCCATCAATGAAGCATCAGCATGGAATTCTGTTTCCATTGTTGCTCTAGCTGCCTTCAGAGTTTAATGATTAGTTATACCAGAAAAAGGCTACAACCATTATTTAATTAAGTTGCGTTCTAGACTTGCCAATTGTTGGTGCAAAGGGGATGTTGTCCCATGTTTCCTAGCCTCTTAGACTTTTTGTAGATGACTTAAAAGACTAGCCAAGAATGGAGAACTATTAATTGGTTGTTGGGAATTTTTCCGATGACTCATAATAGTTAGTAAATTTTTCTCGGCCTTTTATGCTTCATCTTACTCTACATTTTTCCTGTTCCATTTTGGCACTGTAAGGAAGATAATTTAATATTTAATGTAAAAATCTAATATCAGTGGGTCATTATGGTTTTGATGTTTAAATTTAGTAAAAGCAGAAAACCACACTGCAATTGTGCCACTTCCTCTTCTCTTTTAGACCTTGCTTGTTCTCTGTCTCTTCCCACATTACTTTTCTTCTGGATTTATCTGGCTTTCTCCTTCTCTTTTTAGCTAGTGAAAAAACTTATTCACACTTTTAACTGGTATACACTTAGGGCATGTCTATAGTTGCCAGAGAATCAACGCACAAGAGTTCAATCTTCTGACATTCAATTTAGCAGGTCTAGTATAGATACTCCTCTGGTACTGGAATCCAGTACTCCTCCTTTTGCAAGCAGTAAGGGAAACCAATGGGATCATTTGCTCCTATCAGCTTCCTGCAGTGTGGACACTACTACGGTTCGGCTTATGGTAAGCCAACTCGGCATATGATAAACAACTATGATTGTACATAGCTTGAGTTGCATACCTTAAGCCAGCCATCCTGGTCTAGTATAGACCAGGCCTAAGTGTAAAGCTCTTGGAGGAAATGGTTATCTGAACTGAATTATGAATGCTCCAAAACCATGCAGCACCGCCTCAGTTATTTGGGCTGTAGCAGAAATTTGATACCTATATCTGATTGTTTTAATTTTCAAAATATCTGTATAAATGTTTAACAATCCACAAAACACGGCTGTGTAGTGGGTAAATATGGGCCTGAAGTGACTTGTCAAAGGCTGCTGAGGGAGTGGCAAATGAAGGATTTATTGGACCCTGGTTTTGTTCAGAGCTGTAAATTATGGCCCTCTCTCGTAAAGATCTTCTTGTGGAGGGTATTGCAGACCACTTTGAGAAACATTGCTCTAGTGCTTTTCAGCTGAAGTTCTAATTAAGGAACCCTCCCCATACTTGGCTAGATAGGTAAATGTCATCCCCACTTTACAGAAGAAGAAACAGGTGGCATGAACTGATTTGTTTGTGTTGCGTTGTAACCCAATGAAACCTGATCTCCCTCATGTGCTGTAACTTTTCAACAGTCTCTCTGCTGCCTTCTGATATTTTCTGACAGGCTGTCCCTTTCTGTAACCCTTCATTACCAAAGGGGCCTCAGAAAGGAAGAAACTGTCTCCACTGTGCTGCCTAGCATGGCCTATCTCAGTAAAAGCAGGTTCAAATGGCCAAAGCTTCGCATTCACTGTTTCAGTGTATTCAACTGGTGGTTTGTTTGGGGTTTTTTTGCTTACCATTATGTAGTCACTGCACTAAGGATGAGACTCGTTGACTTGTAAAGCACTTTGCAGTGATCCTCCGCTATGAAAAGTCACTAAATGTCATATTCTCTCCTCCCACTTTAACTTCCATGTTGATGCTGGAGACCTGGCTTCTAAGACATCATTATGGCCATCTGTGCCTGTTCCATGCCAGTGTGGTGTGGTCCATAATAAAAATGAGAGCAGCCTTTTGATTCTGTGGAACAGCGCCTTAAATGGGGAGCTTTGACTATTAGTGGAAATATTATCATACCATGAGCTGCAGTACTTTAGGCCAGCCGTCAATAGCCCCCGAGGAACTGGTCCAGCAACTAGGGATTGCAGGGGCATTGGCACACTCCCTGGGCTTGTGGGGAGTAAGTGGGACAGGTGGTAAGAGTGCTACCATGGCATTGTGATAGCGCTCTGGCATGAGAGGCTTTGCTTTACTTTAGCAGTGAATGCAGCAGGACAGTATCCAGTGTGATAATCCTTTTAATGTGAGCTGTCAGAAGTGTAAAGAGAGATTGGTTTTCTGGCCAGCGCCCAGGATTGGAAGCCAGGAAAGAATGCACCTGCTCCAAGCTCTTCCATAGACTTCTTGAGTGACTTCATCAAGTTACTTGTTTTCTGAGCCTCTTTTTCTCCTTTACAGGCAGTAGATCTCAGGTGTTTAGCAACGATTCCTTTATTAATGTTTGTAAAGCTCTTTGAGATCCCTAAGTGGCAAGTAATATTGCAGTACACATTATTATTCTTGGAGTCAATTGAATTAAACAGAAATCCAGTGGTTAATGAAGCTGGGTCCATTATAATTCGGTATTATACAGTGTCCAATAATTAAGTTTGATATTGTAGTGTGGTGTTTCTCAAACTTTTTTTAAGTACCCCTTTAAAAAAATTATAAGTACCCCCTTTTAAAAAAAAAAAGTACCCCCAGTACCTACAGTTTTCAGACACGCACATTTTTTTTCTACCATTGCAACACATTTGTTTAAACAACTTAATCGTAGCTGGGTGGGCGATGACATTTTTGGGTGTAAAAAGTACAAAAATAATAAAGCGCTATAAAACTTAAAACAAAAATTCAGTTTTCTTCAAATTTTGGTTGTGTTGATGTACCCCTCAGACTTCTCTCGAGTACCCGTAAGGCTACTCGTACCACAGGTTGATGTGCGCAACAGCATTCAGTTTAAAAGTTATAATATATATTTCTGATCAAGGTTTTTTTTTTAATTGCTCACTTCATTCTTGTTGGTTAATATTTGCTAAGAGTCATTCCAAGCAGATGCATTCTAACTCCTCTCAGCAGTGGTACTGCATCACAGGAAGAATGGAAAACACATCAAACACAAATGTAATTTTGCTGTACTCCACAATATTTCAAAGGAGGAATATTTTCTCTCTGCCTTTGGTTCTTGTAAAGTACAGTATGTCTAGATGACGCATACATCACTGATGTCTCCGACCCCAGCAGGTTTTGACGTTAGAAATCAGCATTTTACTGCTTCATATTTCATCATGATTATTAAAACCTCTATGTTGGCTGAAAACAAACACATCAGCACTTAAAAGCAATACATCATTTTTTGATCTTTTATAAAACAGGGGACTTATTTTATTTGAAAATAAAACCTACATTCTGGAGCCATTGGAAAATGCTACGAGTGAACACAAGATCTACCGAGCAGAGAACCTGAAAATAACCTCCGGATCTTGTGGCAACCAATTCAATGTCTCTGGCATCACTGTTGATGACACTCCACAGTCTTCTCAAGCATTCACTAGCAGGGTATGTGGAAAGATAGTTTTATGTTTCTGGATTGTTGATAATCTCTTTATGCTAATTTCCAGAAATTGATCAAATATCTACATCAAAACTAATTGCTGAGATACATGTGTATCATTTGAAATGGTGCATAGATGGTGAAATTGTGACTCTATTGAGTGGGGCCAAGATTTCACCTTGTGTTTGTGGTCATCATGAAATCGAGTAAAATAGCGATGGAAAATACCCTGCTAAATTTTCCCCTCTTTGCTGCTACCTGATGGTTACAGTACTAGGTAGTTAGCCCAGATGACTTCTAAACAGCCCAGCAAATGAAGATTCTGCCTTTTCTCTTGAGATTGAGTTCCCAGTTTTAAAAGATCCCACTGTAGAGAGATTTTTCAGTTTCTAAATTTCATCATATCGCTTCCAGTAGATCCTCTCTGGATCTACCTAAATAACTGTTCTTTACCCTCTTCCAGGACATATGGGTTAGGACAGTGGTTTTCAACCTTTTTCATTTATAGAACCCTAAACATTAAATCTTAGTCATAGTCTGCGAACCCTTGGGGATCTGTGGGCCACAGGGGGAAAGCCACTGGTTTAGACGGCTATCGTGTATCTTCCCTTCTTTAGGTCAAAATGTGACTTTTTACAAGGAGGAGCACTGGGGAAATTGTGCATAGCCAAGGGTACAGTCTGTCTTGCTACTCCTCCCTGTGCAAAGTCAGAGCACAGTTTATTGCTTGAAGTAGGCAGAACGCTCCCTGTGGTGTGCCAGCCCTGCTCCATTGGCCTAGCACACTCCAACAAACTGTTGGGAGTTTCTTGCTCATCCTTCCAGCCCTGTGCAGGAGCCATTCACAAGCTGAGTCTTATTGCTTTGACGTTCAGTATTTGTTTAGTTCTTTTACATTTTGTCTGTGACTTAATCTCTCCAGTTTCTTAAGCGTCTATTCATCAAAGCATCTAACCACATGGTAAGTTCTCTTAAAGACAGTGGAACATAAGCATGTCTTTGAAGTTAAAATGTGTTTAAATGCTTTGTTAAATCAAGACCTTTAATCATTTTTCTTGCTTGTATTTTAATTCTTCTCTGTTTTCATTAATGAAGTGGTACAGAATTTTAGGCAGATTACAAATTCTGGTAATATATTTTGATTCCTGTGCCACTTGCAATTCAGTCTTAAAGAGAGCTGGCAATGTCTAGAATATCTTTTTGCCCACCCAGGGAGGAAAGGAGAATGTTATAGCCATGTTACTTTCCTAATAATACATGTTGAAATTTAAACACACCTTTAAATTGTAATAGGAAAGTATCTTGTGCACACAGAACACATTCTTAGCATTTTGGTTTTAGGGATATATCATGTGTAATTGTTTTTATGTAGGTGGAAAGGCACTTGACATGCAATGCATCTAGCTAATGAAAATTGTATACAATAAATGACTTTTAAATCAGACAGAAAAATTACTACCACAGATTCACGTGTCTCTTGGATTGGGATTTTGTAGAAGGGACTGTATAATATGATCAAGAATAACATAGCAGCACAAAGGTGTGTGCAGTTTTTATTAAATGTGAAATATATAATATGTATAGAGCCACACAGCCAATCTAGTTCATATATGTTAAGTTCAGTGTTAAGAAAAACAGCATCAAGGGATGTTATTTATGTACTGGAACAAATTGATTTGCCTTGGAGGAGCATTAAACAGTACTTTTCCAAATGTCTTTTCTCCAAATGCATGTACATTTGTTGTTATAGATACGTTGGTATAGATATGCAACTAGATATGTTGCTAGTTCTTTTTGTAATGCTGTAAGTATGGGTAAATCAGGACATAGATTGCACTACAATGCAATTAGCTGCAGAGGGCTAGATGAAAGGAGTGATTATTAAGTCCTTTTTATAAATAAATAAATATTGTATCTGAAGAACACATACAGCCTCTGGCCTCATCACAGGAATAGATTCAATATACTAGGTCACCACAGGCTCATATGATTAGGCCCCTCCAGCCAGCTGTTGAGTTTCTAAATCTCCCCTGTTCCAAGCAGTTCTATTTTGAGATGGCTTAAATTGATGACCATGCCCAAGAATTTCTCACATGTATACATTTATGTTGTCATCAACGGTCTGAATATTAGGTTTGGGGAAAAGCAAAGTATAGCACAATTCTGTAATTTTCTGAAACACAGCTCGGAATAAGTGTCAGGTGTCTATTAAAAACTACTGTGGCAGAGAAACCATAGGAATGTGTTGTCATTTGTTTATTTCAGTGATGTAGTGTTTTACCCCTGCCCAGTATTTGTGCCTAGACATTTTTAAAGGAAGGTAAATCACGATGCTTAATCATATGACTCTCCTCCAGACTTTCCACCAAAGGTGCACTCAGCCATTGTTTCTCCAGCCCAGCCAGTTCAGCAGATTTGCTGTGTGTGTAGTTTGATTATTATACAGATCCTGTGATTTATTATTATTATACAGAATGTAAATATGTTTTCTTTAGTCTTTATAATGACTCTTTTCTGAATACTCTCCTATTCATCTACATCCTTCTTGAACCTTGAAAACTAGAACTAGACTCAATATTCCAGCAGTGGTTGCACTGGTACCAAATTCAGAAGCAAAATAACTTCTCTATTCCTAATCAAGAGTCCTCTGTTTATGCATCCCAGGATCTCGTTAGCTTTTTTGGCTACAGCATCTCAGTGAGAGATCATGTTCAACCAATTATCCAACACAATCCCAAAATCTTTTTCAGAGTCAATGCTTTCTAGGTTAGAAGCCTCCTGCCTCAGTGGGTCACAACTAGGAATATCAGATTCAGAATAAAATGCTGAGAAATGGGGCAGACTCACCCCAGATTGGTGGTTATTCTTCCATAAAATATAACATACCAACAGCAAAAGTAAACTGCTGTCTCACTGCATTAGTTAACAAGAAGTTGGAAATGCAATCTCCCACAAACCTTGTTTCAGCACCCAAACACTAGACGTAATGATGAATGGTTAGTAGAAACCAGTTTCATCAGCTAAAGGTTTCTTCTGATCCCAAAAAATCAGTCATATACACAACTCAAATCTTACCCAGTAATTATGCTGTTGACAATCCTTTAGTATCTAGTATCTAAAGGCTGCTTATAAGAGACAAGAAAGAGGTGGGAGTTAAAATGGTCAAAGGGAATCAAATACATAAAAAATAAGATCAGTTTGACAAGTTTTGTTTTTCATAAACCCATGTTGGTTTCTATTAATTATATTACCCTCCTTTGTTCTTTATTAATCAAGTCCCATATCAACTGCTTCATTATCTTGCCTGGGGTCGATGTCAGGCTGACAAGGCTATAATTACCCAGGTCATCCTTTTACCCTTTTTAAACACTTGCAACACATTAGCTTTCTTTCAGTCTTCTGGCACTTCCTCTGTCATCCAAGATTTATTAAAATTAACCTCAATAATCCAGCAAGTTGTTCAGCGAACTCTCTTAAAACTCCTGAATGCCATTTATCTGGACTTGCTGCTTTAAAATGGTCTAAATTTAGCAGCTTCTGTTTAACATCCTTTTGAAGATAGAATGGAAAGTGTGTTATCATCACCATGTGATGAAACCACATCATCTCTTCTCCCCCTCCCCCCCAATACAGAACAGGAACATTTAGTGAACACTTCTGGCTTTTCTGCAATATTATTGATAATTCTACAATTTCCATCTAGTGGACAATATCATTGTCAGAAATATTTTTGTTCCTATTATATTTAACAAACCCCCTCTTATTGTCCTTATTTCTATAGGCCATAGATTTTTCCTGCCTCTTTTCTCTTCCTTTATCAATTTTTTACAATTCCTGACTTCTGATTTACGTTCATTACTACCACCTTCCCCTTTCTTCTATTTGTTACATACTATTGTATATAGCTGCCTTCACTTCCTGTCTAAACCAAGTTGGGTTTTTTTAGTCAATATAACCATTCTTGCTCAACTGTGAGAATGTGGCTTTGAGAGCATTTGGTAAGATGTTCTTAAATTATTCCCAGTTATCATTTACAGTTTCCTGATTAAATTTTTCCTTCCAGCTTGTTTGACTCATAAATGTTCTCAGTTTTGTAAAACTGGCTCTATTAAAGCAGCAAACATATTATTACTGGTCTGGACATTATTCTGCTTGCACATTATAAATGTGATCAAGTCATGATTAGATATACTTAAGCTACAATTAAATTTTATTTCTTTTGTCATTTCTTCTTTATCTGTTATGACAAAGTCTAATGCAGAATCATCCCATGCTGATTGCAACACTTTTTGAGTTAGGGAATTGTCATCTATAATATTTTAAAATTCCAAGGACGCTTTAGTACCAGCAGGATAAGACTTCCAGCAGATGTCATTCAATGTGAAGTCCCTTATGACCATTTAGTTCTTTTTTCCTGTACATTATAGATAGATATGTAAGGAGGTAGTTACCCTCTTCCTATGATTTGGTGGTCTGTAGCAAGCACCAGTTAGTATCCTATCTTCAGCTTTATTTGTTAGGACATTGATCCATGAACATTTGAGATCATTTTCTTCTGAGTCATCAGTGACCTAGAAATAAGTAATGTCATATTTTGACATAGAGTGCCATTCCCATTCCCTTTTCTCACTCAATCCTTACTAAATAGGTTACAATCAATTCCAGCAAGATGCAGTAATACCATAACAAATTTATGCTGATAATAAACAATTCTAATTCCTCTTGTTTGCTACCCAGTCTCCTGGTTGGACAAGCAATTCAGGAATTTCTTCTCTTCATGTGCTTTTGTTCCTTGATTAAGTTTGTTCTCAACATCTCATTTGTGTACTAAGTGGTCAGTTGACTATTATGTGAATTATTACACGTTGTCACTGTAGTGTTTCTCTGAAAGCATAGGAAGAAACAGGTGGAGTCTTCTCACCAAAAAGATGTTCATCTTCAGGTGGCACCTTGAAGGTTACAAGTTACAGAAATGCCATTTGCCTGCCTATATTGCACAGCTTTCTTAATGATAGGGTGAGTGCCAGGTAAACTCCTGTCCTCTGATGGAAGAGGGAGAGAATTATGTGAGGAGAAAAAAGACCACAGGAAATATTTACTCTATTTGACTGTGTTGGGGTGAGCTGGAGCTGATAGTCAGGTGTTTAAGATCATCTGAGGCAAAAACAGATTTCTATTTCTATTTGTTTTTGCAGCACAAGAGGGAGACTCTGAAGATAACAAAATATGTGGAGCTTGTTATTGTTGCAGATAATCGAGAGGTAAGAAAGCTTTAAAGAAAAGATACAAGGAGTATTGGAGGGAAAGTGATTGTTTAGTTGTGTTTTCATGGTTCTGCTAACCTTTGTGCTTCAGAGAGTAACAAAAATAGGGCTACAGTAACAGAAAGGATCATTTAAAAACAGTGTAAGGGTGAAAAGTATTTGTTCCAAGTCTAAAATGTTCCCTGCAACACTTTGGAAGGAATTTAGTGCTCACAAACATCTGGGACCTCTTGCAGTAACTGATGTGGACGCCAGTAAGTATTCACTGGTCATGACCCAGTGATGTGGTTGAAACCCCATTGCACTATTTAACTCTGACCTCTGGAGACCATCACTGGCTAGAGTAAACAGCAGAATTTAGTGTTGTTGGTTCTTCAGTTGTAGTTTTGCAATTATGCTGAATTAAGCAAGACTATATGCAGTGTTTGCAAAGCGGGTTTCAAAACAAATAAACGAGACAGATTGTCGAAAAGGTATCTCAGCAGGCTGTAGTGAAACCAAAGATGTGAAATCTTGGTATGAATTATTTTACAATTTACATTTTTTCTTTCAAAATGTGACAGACTCCACTTATTCTGGTTACATAGCCAAAATCACTTTCTTGAAAAAACAGAGGCAGATAAAAGAAGAATCTTTCTATTTTTGCAATTAAGTCAATCCTAGGGAGATTCTGTGTAGGAGTATAAGGGATTTTAGAATCTTTTTTAAAAACAAAATCCTTTTGCCCAATTTGTGCTCATTTTGAACTAAATCCTGTTCCTGTGGAAGTCAGTAGCTTTCTGGCCATTTATGCATTTAAGCCCAAATGTCAAGGTTAATGTCAGCGTGGCAATGAAAGGTTATTTTGCAGGCAAATGTTATAATACTAATGTTGATCATGCATTATTCTTTTACATTTTAAGTTTCAGAGACAAGGCAAAGATGTGGAAAAAGTTAAGCAGAGGCTGATAGAAATTGCAAACTATGTCGATAAGGTAAGAACATGAACAATATTTCACTCTCTCAAACCTCACAAATATATCCAAGAGATATTGCCGTGAAATCTATGCCATCTAGGCTTACTGGGAAGAAAAGCCTTCTGAAATTCAAACATCGTTATACACTATTATTTCAAGGAAAAACAAGATAATGGCTTCTCAGTGAAAATGTGCAAGCCACTGAGCTTAGCAAGACCTAGATATTCAGCACTGCAGAATTTTTACTAGGAACATTTTGGGGGTTCTGTGTGTGTGGCAAGGAAAGGAAATAAAGTTCTGTTAATACAATGTTTGAGGCAGATATTAACCTAAACCTCACCCATATCTTTCTAAGTGCAAGAGAATAATCACTTAACTTAGACAAAGATACTTTGTTTAGGTGTTGACCAACTAGGGTAGAGGTGGGCAATAGTTTTTGATGGGGTCCACTCTAAGATTTTGGTAACTGGTCAAGAGGTGTGTGTGTGTGTGTGTGTGTGTGTGTGTGTGTGTGTGTGTGTAAAAGAGGCATGGGATCTGGGACAGAGGTTGAGTGCAGGAGAAAGCTCAGGGTAGGAGACTGGAGTGCAGGAGAGGATGTGGGGTCTGAGAGGGAGTTTGGGTGAAGGAGGGGACTGTGATCTGGGGCAGGCGCTGAGGGTGCAGAATCAGGGGGTGCAGGACAGTATTTTAGCCTGAGGGAAATGTGTAGGACAGGGTGCAGGGTCTGAAAGGGAGTTGTGACCCGGAGGAGGGGGGCTGCAGAGAGTTTAGGTGATGACCTGGGACAGGAGGGAGCGTGGCCTACAAGACCCTGAGGCAGACTCCCTGCCTGCCACAGCCCTGGGCTGCTCAAAATGGCTGGCTGCTCCCTTTGGTTCTCTACTTCAGGCACCAAGGGAAGGGAGAGGCTTCACACAATGACCCCTGCCTCCTAGAAAAATCTCTCAGCTTCCATTGGCCAGTTTCCAGCCAACAGGAGCTGAGAGATTTTGCTGGGAGAGATACTGGGGTCGAGCACAAAGCCTCTCCTTTTCTCTCAGCAACCAGAGTAGAGAGCCACAGGGAGCAGCCAGCAGCTTAAAGTGGTGTGAGCTTCTCTTTGCCTGAGGGTCCTGGCGGGGTGGCATACAGGCCATATCTTGCCCATCCCTGAACTAGGGCATTCTTGTGGTGGGGATGAAAATGTATTGCATTCTCAGGCCTGGTCTACACTAGGACATTTGTGTGTTGCCAGCACCATTGCAACTCCTCTGCATTCCTGTTACACACCACATGTACATAAATAGAAGTGCCTTCACCACTATGCAAGAATGCACACAACTTCCGTGGTAGTCCTTGCTTTGAGCAAGGCTGAGCACTATATGATCAACCAATGTGTCACTCTGTACTGCTGCAATGCTAATGTACTACTTGAAAGATTGCACTGGTGCAATTAGCCGTCCTAGTATAGTTCCATCATGTTCCAGGAGGCTGCTTCCTCAGCTCACAGCACTGAATTTGTCACCTCTCAATCCACCCACTAGCCCACTCCATGCAGTTCTTAAAGTATCCTTTGCAGTACTTGGCTGTTGTTGATTATCTAGACAAGGCAGGTTCACTGGCAGCTATAGCTTCTCTGTTTCTACTGTTCTTATGTGTTGACTTCTCAAATGTGGTGCACACCCAGTACTCCAATCTTGTAGAAAAATGTCCCTGGCCAAACAAAAGCAGCAGCAGCAGTAAAAGTAAAAAGTTAACCCACTATGTCCTGTTCGAATCACTAAGTTGTGAACTCAGTGCCCTTAATACTTCAGTATGACGTGACCTTCAAAGACTCGCTAGAACCATCATACTCTTTGAGGCATGATTTCTTTCTTGCAATGCTTGTAGGGCATTTCACCCATGTGCAGCCTCCTACATAGGACTAGTGAGACAACCACAATTTAAGTATTGGACTTTATTAGGCCCCTCTGAGAATCTGGGTCATTGTGGAGCAGAGTGTGGGAAAGAGGTAGGTTTTAAGGAAGAATTAAAGAAAGGGTGGTTGTTTGAAGGAGCAGCAAGAATTCTCCAAATGTAAGAACCAGCAAAGAAGAAAGCCATAAGGTCCTTGTGGAAGTAAGCTAGGGTATGTCTACACTACAAAGTTAATTCGAACTAACGGCCGTTAGTTCAAATTAACTTTGATAGGCGCTACACACGCGATCCGCTAGTTTGAACTTAATTCGAACTAGGTAAACCTCATTCTACGAGGACTAAAGCCTAGTTCGAATTAAGTAGTTCGAATTAAGGGCTGTGTAGCCACTTAATTCGAACTAGTGGGAGGCTAGCCCTCCCCAGCTTTCCCTGG